TTCTTTTTTTCCTTGGTTACATAAAAAGTAGGTATAAAATAGTTCAGATTATGCCTAGCAAGTTCATATTTAAAAGAATAATAAGAATAAACATATCAAACCTCGCATATTCTAGCAAAACTTTTTTTGCCAGCAGTGTGTGGATATCTCAACTTTTTGCGATTCTCAGTGTTGGTTTCTTTTATTTTCTGCAACAAAAAAGAAACTTTGACAATGAATACATCTGCTACACAGAACAAAGCCACTCTTCTGAAGATTATTTTGGGTAAGACAAGCTTATATTAATGATGCTAGCAGGTCACAACAAACGGAGAAGGAAGACACATCCGGAAAACATAGCTAATGGAGTCTCCATGAATTATGCTATCATGCACATTCTGGTGCAAACACTATGATGAGATGATGCACAGAATTTGGGCAGAAACGGGGCAAAATTTTTCTGAAAAAAATTCGCCAGCATTTCAGCGCTTTTTGGATGTTTAGAATGAAAAAGAAAAAGAAAAAGAAGAAGAAGAAGAAGAAGAAGAAGAAGAAGAAGAAGAATGAAAATAAAAACATACCTGTTGAAACTTGAAAGCTGTTTTTGAGGAAGAAAAGGCTAGTTTAGAACCTTAGTTTGCTGCTGAAGATGACACTTGATGGAACTTTCTTTTTCATGTTTTACTAGCTCATAAATTACTAAATTCACAGAATAGCAAAACTCGTCGCTTGGTGCAAAATGTTAAATGTGACACTAATGTGATCGCTTATCAACTTTAATAGTTTAAACATGGAAAAGCTCTCTTGTTTTTGAATAACAGCGAAACAAACCACAGAAACGAATATTGCCGCCTTGAATCCATTGTTTATTATTGCTAACCTGAAAAATTCTAATTATAGCTGTTATAGTTACCAACAATAGTTCATGTAATACAATCAGTTCATGTAATACAATCAATTCTCAGGGTAGAGTTTTACCAAATAATGTTGCTCCAAGACAGCCACAAGTGCAACAAGAAGTTGCATTTAGACGACAGGACAAAGGAACAAGTCAAGCCCACCCCTGACTGCCATTATTGTTGGAAAGTATTCCTGATTAGAACTATCCAGGGAGGGTGATTTCTTTTCTTGAAATTAGAATGATTGTGTTATGACATCTTGTAGTAGAAGATTGTGGATTAACTAGCACAGAATCATAGTAAAAAAATTTATCCAGATTATGAGTTTCATTCACAAAATGCAACCATAATAATTAAGCTGAAGAGCAACTATATTTCTTGCCTAAGAACATGATTTCTAAATAAACAAAAATCAGACATTTTAAGCAAATCATGGAACAATATTCAGTTTTACCTTGTAGGTATCAGAGTTCCAATATCTAAGAAGTTCCCTAAATTGAGAATCCGGAACATCAACCGGCCTATTCTCCATTCGAAGCTCGTCATTCTCATAGGGTTCAAAATGGTCTTTATATAACTGATTTTTGTACTTTCTCCAAGCATTTGAAATTGAGTGAAAAACCCACATTTTTGCACCTTCATGAATGTCATATTTTCCCTATAAATTTAGAGCAGTTAGGTTGGTGTAAACAATATGAAATACCACACACACCCATTGAATATTGCGAATTTCAAACCTTGACATATTTCCACATATCTTCTTTTGTCTCAAGTTTCCTCCAATCAAACACATTAAGATGACAAGAGGTCGCATTCCTTGCCAATGTACCAAGGAAGCTACCCAACTCATTTACATCATCATCAGTAGGACCTATGGGTTGATTGTTCTCATTTAGCACAATTTGATTGCGCTCTTTCCTACCATGAACACTTTGCATCTGAGTTTTTCCTCTTTTTCATTTTTCGACAGAAGGAACTACATAAATATGAAGTAAGAATAATCACCAAAAGTCATTATGTTATTTAATTTGACGATTGAAATCCATATGTTCTTGCCTTGTTCCTCGGATTGCTCGTTTGCTTCATCATTGGAAGAATCCTCAACTTGTTCTTGTACCATTTGTGAAGTACGAGGGGTGGAATCCAGTGGTAGTTGTTGCAATTGTTTATGTACTGCTTGTGATGCAAGAGAGGTAGAGTTCAGTAGAATTTGTTGGACTTGCTCATGTACTGTTTGTGCTGGGGCAGCAGTAGAATGCAGAGGCAGCGATCCACCTGCAGAAGTAGAATGCTGCAATTGTTCACGCACAGCTTGTGATGCTGAAGGTGTAGAGTTCAGTGGCATTTGTTGCACTTGCTCATGTACTGTTTGTGCTGGTGTAGAAGTAGAATGCAGAGGCAGTGACCTTGGATCTTTAATAACTCTGTTTGTTTTCAATGACGAAACCTTTAGGTTTCGCAAAGATGCAAGCGATCCAGCTGCTATGCATTTTGTTAATTTTTTATTATTACTTGAGCGCCCTTCCTGATTCATGATCCGCTTTCCTCTGTTCAAAATTAGATACATTTGAATGTTGTGCATTAGATGGAATATCAACGACATCAACGGGAACGTCGTCTCTAGACCATCTAACGTCAGCATCAACTAATCCACTTAAGGAACCAATGTCATCATTAGGCTCTCTCCAAAATGCGTCTTCAATATTAGGGAAATTCTCTTCCTCTAAATCATACAAATCAACAAGGACTTTATTCCTTGCATAATAAACATCTTTCTCAATTGGATCCTCCACATAAAAAACTTGATAAACTTGTGATGCCAACACAAGGGTCATCTGTACTACATAATTTGTTAAAGTATACACGAGTTAACCCATATTCATCTATTTCGTTACGAAATCAATCACATCTAAATAGTACAACGCTAAAACAACCCCAATAATCAATCTCAATGATATCCTGAATAGCTCCATAATAGATAACCTCACCATCGATGGGATTTTGGTCCCTAGAGCTAGCAAAGCTATCGGTTGTTGCAGATAAAGTCACTCCACTATTTTGAGCCTTGCATCGGGAATCCTGTTCTATGGTATGAAATCGGTATCCATTAATAAAATACGCAGTATATCTTTTGGCGATCGTATTAGGCCCATTAGCTAGCCATCTTAAATAATCGGGTTCTTCAATATTTTTAACTTTTTCTGCAAACCAATTGTTGAATTCCCGACTATGCTTCCTTGCCCTTTCCCATGCATTTGATCTACTGTGACTACCAATTAAATTCTTATGTTCCCTGCAATCATGAATTTTATAAAATCAATCATATCATAAAGAAAAAAACATATAAATTAAATAAATCTTATATAATTTATCTTACTCGATAAACTTTTTCACTTGTTCATTGCCAGTATTGAACAGAGCATACCGATGGGCTTCATAACATAACTGTGGATCCATGAGAAAAGTATTTTTCTTCTTACTTCCAATTGGATGTCCTATCATAGGGAATATAGGTGACAAATTTTGAGGGCACTCATCATCCACAGTTGTGTATCTACTGAATCTTGTCTTCACGCCATCATGTAGGTATCTCGAACAAAAATTCAAGCACTCTTCCGCCAAAAATCCCTCTGCTATTGATGCTTCTGGACAAGATCGATTACGAACAAATGCCTTGTACTTACATAGGTTCCTTTCAATGGAATACATCCAACAAAGATGAGCCGGACCCCCAAACTTAATTTCATTCACCAAATGAATAGGCAAATGTGGCATTATGTCAAAAAATGTTGGATGAAAAATCTTTTCAAGCTCACAAGTTATTTCAACAATTTCAGACTGCATTTTTTCAAGATCTCTTCGCCTTATGACCTTACTACATATGGCTCTAAAGAATTTGCCCAACCTAATCAAGGCCAACGAGACGTTCTTGGGCAACGCCTTTCTAACAGCAACCTGGAGCAAGTAATGCATTATAAAATGAGCATCATGACTCTTGTACCCTGATATTTTGATCTCCTTCACTTGCACGCGATTTGAAATATTCGAAGCACACCCTTTTGGTAACTTGGCATTTTTCATAACGGTGCAAAACAAATTTTTCTGTTCTGGTTTCATGTAGAAACAAGCTTTAGCCAAACTCACACTACCATCATCATCTTCTCTTGGTTGTAGCTCCTTTCGTATCCCCATTTCTTGTAAGTCATAGCGAGAATTTACATGATCCTTTGACTTTTTTTCTATTTCCAATAAAGTCCCAAGTAAACGGTCACATATGTTTCTCGATGTGCATCACATCAAGATTGTGCCTCAATTTATTATGCGCCCAATATGGCAATTAAAAAAAAATAGATCTTTTTTTCCACGGACCCTTGTTATCCCGAGGTCTTTTCTTTTTTCCCTTTCCAAAGACATTGTTGAATTCACGGAGCTCTTCAAACACTTCCACACCCGACAAAGGAGTAGGTGCATGTCTATGCTCCTCATTACCATCAAATGACTTCTTATCTTTTCTCGATGGGTGATCAAGAGGCAAAAATCTTCGATGACCCAAGTAACACATCTTATGACTATGTTTGAGATATCGTGAGCATGTGTCATAATTACAAGTGGGGCATGCCAATCTACCCTTGGTGCTCCAGCCTGAACGCATTGCTAAAGCTGGAAAATCACTAACTGTCCACAATAAGGCTGCACGCATTTGGAATGTTTGCTTTGTCTCAGCATCATATGTCTCTATCCCAGTTTCCCATAGTTCCTTCAATTCTTCAATTAATGGTTGTAGATACACATCTATATCATGTCCTGGAGATGAAGGACCTGGAATGATCATTGACAACATGATATATTCTGGCTTCATGCAAATCCATGGTGATAAATTATAGTTCATTAACATGACAGGCCACGTGCTATGAGAAATTCTCATGGTTCGAAATGGGTTGAAACCATCACTTGAAAGACCCAACCTAACATTACGTGGATCTCTGGAGAAGTCTGCGTGTAGAGAATCAAAATCCTTCCAAGCTTCTCCATCAACAGGATGCCTCATATTCCCATCAGTGGGTCGTTCATTAGCATGCCATCTCATTGCAATGGCTGTTTCAGGACACATGAATATCCTCTGAAGCCTAGGCTTTAAGGGAAAGTACCTTAAAACCTTTACTGGAATTTTAGAGCTTGTATTAGTTAAGGAAGTATCAACAACTTTCCGTCGAGAAGCCCCACAAACAAAGCAATTATCGGCCTTTGCATTGTCTTTCCAAAATAACATGCAATCATTAGGGCATGCATGTATTTTTTCATAATGAAGACCCAAATCTTTTATCATGTTTCTAGCCTTGTTGAAAGATTCTGGCAACTGAGAAAAGGGAAATGCCTCTTTTAACAATTCTAGCATGTCTGAAAAGGCCACATTACTCAATCCATGCAAGGATTTAAACACGTACAACCGAATAGTAAAACTCAATTTAGTGAAGGTTTCACACCCAGGATATAGTTCTTGTTTGCCTTCCTCTAATAATCTGAAAAATCTCTTAGCATCTTCAGATAGAATCTCTCTCATCTGTTCTTCCTACTCTGCCTCACATTCTACATTTCTAAAGGTATCATGAAGTAATCCATCAACATCATCACGCATGTTAGAACCTTCATCATCATTGCTTTGGTGAGGTGCATTTCTGGAGGAAAATTCTTCCCCATGGAAAATCCATTTGGTGTAACCATCAATAAAACCGTTAACAACCAAGTGATCCTCCACCATATTTCTATAGTGCCAATAGCGATTAATACACTTTTTGCAAGGGCATAATATTTTATTTCCCTGGGAAGCTCGTTCAAATGCCTTATCAAGAAAATTGTTCACTCCACGGATATATTCATCCGTCCATCTTAGGAGATACATCCAACTTTTATCTCCATTATCCATTGAAATCCTATACGATAAAATTAAATCAACAAAATTAACCAAATAAACCTACATATAATAAGATATTGACCAATGCTTTTAAAGGTGAAAACTCAGACAGAGGAGCAACTGAAGAGAAGTTGGATATTTATTTTATATTTTAACATAGATAATCAATTTTAACATAGTGCATTTGTATATTTTTATGAGTTTTCTGCATGCTGACATAATAAATATCTAGCTAGTTGGGTAACTCTAAGAAATAAGTTGAATTTTTTGTATTCTTGCAACAAAAAAGTTACAGAACAATATTAAATAACAATGCTTGCCTATTCCGTCATTTGTAGTACTTTAATTTAGAGCCGTACTCAACACATGCATTCAGTTCTAAAAAATTAGACTTCAGCAACATGTTGTAACTTAACTCAAGGCATCATTAGTTAAACCCCAAGGTAACAATATAAACTAATTTTGAGTAACATACATAACAAGATAAATAAGCGAAATACACAAATACACTACCAGCAAATCCAATTACCAAAAATTTAAATTAAGATAACTTACCAGCAACGAGTGTTCCCTAAGTTACCAGCAATGATTTCTCCTCGGCTACCAGAAATAAATTTTCTCTCAGCTAATAATATCTATACCACCAAAGAAGGTTCTATAGTTCAACAAGGAGTAGCATGCAAAAAAAAAACAAAAAAATTGACATCAGAAAGGGATTACTTGGAGAGCATTCGAGCAAAGAAAACAAGAAATAATCTTGCCTTAGATATAAAAACAAACTAATTAGACTCAAAGGAGTTTAAACCACTACCGATCACAACTGAAATTTTGCAAAACAGTGCGTAAATTACACTCAACTAGAGCATATTCTGACCCAAAACTTAACTCAAAACTATGCAACTGAAGCAACAAAGTTTTCCAACAAAATGCAGATTTTCAGTAGCTCAATAGAGGAGAAGCAGAGTAGAATTTGTGGCTCAGTTGTGCAGAACACTTAAACCAAACAACAGCTAATTTAGAGAGCTCAACCAAACTATCCCTAACTTGTCCCTGAATGTTAGCAGTTGTCAGGGGCAGAAAATTGTGACTCAAACAGTGCAGTGGAATGGGAAACTCAAGAACAAAATTCAATTCAATAGCTATGAGGATACTCCACAAAATAATTCATTAGCAACTTCTAGTCGACTTATGAATTCAAACTCAATCAATCCCAACAATGAGTCCCAAGTATTTCAGTCTAATACCAATTCCAGAATTCAACTAACAGCAATGAATTAGAACTCCAACAACAAGAGAAACTATCAAGTCGAACTCACAAAATCAGTTCAACAATCTCCAAGAAATTTTACAGCAAGTAGTTTCAACCAATGGCAGCCTCAAGTCGAACTGCGAATTCAGTTCAATACTCAAAAAAAAATCAAGCTTAAACTACGTGAGTCGAATTCACAGATTCAAATCGATCGATCCCAAATAATAGTAATGAAGTTCAGTCTTCTATTCGATTAATCAATCACAAATCCCTCAAAATCCAGAAAATGACACAAGTTTAAGCGTATAGAAATAAGACCCGATGCGTCGAGGAGTGCATAGGCTACGCAACAGCTTCAGGCACTCAACTCCAGAAATTTGAAGCTGTTCTTCGAGCTTCAGCACCAGAAATTCGATTGTCGACACCAAAAAAATGAACCCAAGCTTCAGCCACAACTTCTCGACATCAATTAGAATAAAACCCCAAAACCAATTTGTTCAGACACTCACGAAAACAACAAATCCTAGGTCATCGTAGAGAGAGATATGGGGGTATCGGAGTTTTTAGCAGTGTATCAGTGAAGAAGAAGAAGATTTTGAGAGAGAGAGAGAGAGATGGGGGCGAGTATCAGTGAAGAAGAAGAAGATGACTCGGTGTTTTGGGGGTATCGCCTAGCAGATATCGCAGTTAATGGGGAAATTAAGTGCAAAAAAAGTTTTTTATTTAATATGTATTATTAAAATTATTAAAGAATAAAATGAATAGGGGTTGTTTTGGCGGGTGTAATAAAATTTACGAGGGAAAATACGGGGGGGGGGGGGAATTACCGTTCCAATAGAAATTTATACAACGAAAGCGTTCGCGTAGATAGTTTTATTGGGACAGTTCATATAACCGTTGCGCCAGATGAACCTATGGCAACGGTTGTTTTATAATTGCAACAGTTCTATAGTTAAAGTGTGCTGATATCACCTAAATGCTACTATAACGGTTATAACCGTTACCATACAGGTTCTATGGCAACAGTTGTTGGACCGTTGCTAAAATAACTATTGCCATAGGCACATTTTCTGGTAGTGATCCAATAATTAACCAATCACCCACATAATTAAGAATTATCTCAAATTACTTAAAATACTACTCACTTTAACATACCTTGTACATCTTACTGTCATGGTCATGTAGTAACTTGTATGGCACTAGTCCATAAATATCGGGTATTATAGCTCGGACCGTATTTTAACTCAAATTGCCAAGCTTCAACGAAACTCATTTCTTCGATTTTCTTACCCTCTCACCTTCACGAATTTACTCATCACTTGTTTGAAATAGCATAATGCTTATAATCTCGAAATAATCCCATTCTCGAACTTACGTCGATTAATTTACGACGAAACTTTAACATACGAAAATGAATGATGTAAATCTCATTTCCAAGCTTTCATCAATTTACTTATGGTGTGCTTTCACATACGAAAACATGGGGTGTAACAAATTGTACCCCGTATTTTATATAGGTTTATTTCATATACATGCTCTATTTCACATTTATTCACTTCTTCACTATATTTTGATATTATTGGAGCACTAGTAAGTGTCGAAGTCAATCTCTCGTCACTACTTCTTCAAGGTTAGACTGGGTACTTACTAGGTACGCGTTGTTTTCGTACTCATACTACACTTGCTGTGCCTTTTTGTTGCACAGGCACATGTATGTCTAGTGGCCTCGATGGGCGCAGCAGCATGGTTGATACAGACACTTAGGTGAGCTGCATCTCTCGAGACGCCCCGCAGCCAGCAGAGTCTCCTTCAGAGAATTGTATTTTCATTCCTGTCCAAATTGTATTCCGGACAGTTGTAGTATCACATTTTATTTCCTAGAAATTGCTCATGCACTTATGACACCGGGTTCTGGGAGGACTACGGGATTATTCAGTATGTAAATTTGTTGAAGACATCATTATTTACTCAGTGAAGTTCATTACTTATTATTCGATGTAAGTAAAAGAAATGATTTCAAAAATACTAAAATGAGAATTTAAGTAACTTCCTGGTGTTGGCTTGCTTGACAGGGGTGTCCGGTGCCATCACAGCCTTTAATGGATTTTGGGTCGTGACAACATGGTTTTAGAGCACTAGTTTCCCTTAGGTCTCACAAGTCATGAGCAAGTCTAGTAGAGTCTTGCGGATCAGTATGGAGACGTCTGTACTTATCCTCGAGAGGCTACAGGGATGTTAGAAGCACTTCCTTTCTTGACTCCTCATCGTGTGGTTTGATTCCTTTGAGGCTTATGCCTTTGATTCTTTTCCACTTAATCTTATGCGACGTAAAGCACTTGCTATTTATCGAGAATTGAGAGTATCGTAATGGTATTGTAGATGCAGTGCAGGATGTTTCCCCTTGTATAGTTGATTGGACTATTGTCGTCGCCTTGCGGAAGGATATTCCATCATTTCAGCTCAGTAGCTATACTTCTGAGAGCTTTGAGGCTATGCACAGGTTGCTATGATGCTCATGGGTTGTTATTGCACAGTATTGATGGGATGGTAGGATGCTTGTCTATGTGTCGGGGCAGTGAATGACTTGGAGGAAGGTTTACTCAATTCATGATTCAGAGATTCAATGTTTTATTTTCGGCGGAGGAAAGACAATCGGACTATGAATGTTTAGGTCTTAGTTGACGGAGTAACGATCTATTGGTTCAAGTGCTATAGAGATTCATTTTGATTTAAGACAACAGCTGGGCAGCGAATTTATTCGTGTAATTTTCGTAGGTGGGTTATCTCCTATGAGCAGGTCAGCGGTCGCGTGGTTGGCGAAGCTTCTGCGAAGGATTTTACAAGCTATCCGGTAAGAGGTCGAATGTGTTGATATGGTTAGTGATCTAGAAGCTCATGAAAGGTCAAACAGAAGGATTTCGAGGATTTTGGCGAGTTGGTTGTGCAAGATCAGGTCGGCGATGAAGAAAGAATCTTGGTGGGTTCCAGAGTTATGTAAATGGATGGCTCCAAGCTAAGTGGGAGTGTCCCACCGCCTCGATTTGGATTGCATGGTTATCTACTGGTGAAGTTTCCGGTTATCAGCGCATTGGTGGATTATTACGGCTAAGGGGAGAGAACATAAGTGGTAACTTGAGCAAAGGATTTGAGAAAATGTGTGCCATAGATGGCCTTACCGATTCTTGTTCGGGCTTTGGGAAGACTCAGGATTTGTGTTTCATACAGAGGTGATTTACAAGGGAAATGATTCAGTCGGGTGTTTCATGGAGATGGGTGTTCATGTGCCAGCAGAGCCTTAGAATTAATTATATCCAGGACCAAGCTAGAGTGGGTGACTCTCAACAACGGACCTAGTGAATTCGAAGGTTAGAAATGCGGTGCCTAAGGATTTCAAGCCTGC